GGTAAACTACCTCTTGGCATTTTTGTGAGAATTTATTTAATTATCTACAAATTTATTAGAATATGTAAACAAAAGAAAGTTATTTATTCGTATTATTTATTATTATGTGAATATATAATTTTGGTAATATATTAACAAGCATATTTAGGTTATATGATATGTTGTCCCATTTTTTATGAATATTGTAGAAAATATATAATTAGAATGTGTTGTATGTTATAGTATTAGCATTGAATGATGTTAAAACGAGCATATCATTTTTTCTTATTATGAATCTTATCACTCAAGCTATAAATTTAATGTTTAAGTGATGTATTTAATGGAAGAAGTGACCTAAATAAGATAGTTAATACGCTTAAATTAATATCTTATTTTTTTAAATAATATATATTTTTATATATAATTATAAAACATTTTTATTATAAATTTATTTTTTTCTAAAATGATTTAAAACTAAATTAATAAAATAATATTATATTATAAACAAATAAAAATATTAAATTATTTATTTGATTTTTATAATTATTTTTATATTTATGATATTTTATGAAATAGTAATTAAATATATATATATATATATATATAATATTAAAATTAAAAACATAAAAATGAATAATAATTTATTTAAATAGAGATAATTGTATGATATGAGGTTTGCAAAGTGGTACACAAGTGATGAATATTGATAAAATGTTACGTGTGAATGTGTATTTAAATGGTAAGTGAATTATTATTTTTAAACTTTGAACTTACCTTATTTCTTGTTTTTTATTTAATTGCTAGATGGGACTACTAGATATCAGTAGAGGAGGGAAAGATGCGATTGGAGAAGGGGATAATCCAGAATTAAAGAGAAAAAAATGCTTAACCTAAAAAACTTACAATTATTTGATTATGTATCAAACATTTGTTACAACTTTGTCTTACCAGATAATCTTCATCCTTCATCAGGTGCACTAGGTTATAAGTTTACAATTGCAACCACATTAAGAACTATGATAGTAAATTCATATAATATATCAATCAATATCCAATCATTTTTTAAAATTTATTTTAGTACGATAAATTATAAATGTATATCAAAATTCTTATGAAATTCCGAGAAAATATTTGAAAAAATCCGGATAAAATTTGTAAATTGTAGAGCGGTGATTTTTGTTATTATTTTAACCAAATCTTGTACTAACTTTTAATTTCTTGAAATGAAAATACATAATTTTTTTTTAAAATTTTATAAATAAAAATATTAAATAAATTTTACTTAAGTATTGAAAAATAAAAATCGGAGTGTACGTCATTGGGATTCGAAATACTGTGATAATAACGAATAATTTATTATATATATATATATATATATATATATATTTATATCTTTTAAATATAAGAATGTAATAGCTTAAAATTTTAAAATAAGTATTTCAATTATATTCGGATATAAAAATAATTATAAGGATATTATTATAATAATATTGAGATCGATTCATTTTTGTTTAGATTTGAAACGGAGACTAACAATAATTTTAAAAAATAATAATTAAAATTTATTTTAAATTGAGTTTAAATTTATTATATTTTATTATTATTGTAATTTTCGTCTTATACGGCGTGGCATACAAGATAATATCATTGTTAAATATTTTTATTGCTGGTATTTTGTTAGTAACTTTTTCAATTTATGATTTATTCTAAATGATATTCACAAGTGTTCCGTTTAAAAATGAAACTTTGGATCTTCGGTCGCTATTTTATTTTTAGAAAATACTTTGGTGATTAAAATAAAAAAATATATTTAAATTATTTTTAATCTGAACTTTTAAATAAAATGAGATTTATACGCATATTAGAATACTAAATTGTTATCATATGGTAGAACACTAATATGTTGTATTATAACTCTATAATTAATGACCTTGATTATAATTAATGTTTCTCGTATAAGATCAAGTTATTTTTTATATAAACTTTCATACTTCTAATTCATCCTCATTTGTAGAACGTGTTCAAAATGTTACTAAGTTTGAATTTTTTTTTTTTTTTTATGTATAGATTAACATTAACAAGTGTTGTAGAATACACTCTTGAGTTATTTTCAATATGTCGATGATAGATATATATCGTTGTTTAATCATCGCTTTTTACAAATTAATGAATTTATAATTAGACTTTTAATTTGGAAAAAACATTGAGAGGTAGGTATGTTTAAAACATGACATAATATAATCTGTATATACATAAATAATTATAGTTAAAAATTGTTTGAATTAGTGTTCTAAAAATTCTTATTACTTGTTGAAAAACAAGTAAGGAGGCTCTACGTTAGACGCATTAGTTGAATCCAACTCTTTACGAAGAAGAAAAACAGATTCAACTTTGGAAACATGTGGAGTAAAACTCTCAACAAAACATGCATGATCTGGGCAAGTATAAACCTTAGACCACCAACGTTGTCGTTTAAGAACATGAGGACATGGTGCATGCATGTGTCACTTGCATTTCCTTGACCACCTTTGTGTTTTGTTTACATCGTACCAGAAAGAAACAAGGTCATACATATGTTATATAACCTTTTCTGCATGTCCCTGTCGCAGCCTATGAAGCTGAAGCAATCACAGAACTTCGTGCCACCAAATGCGAATAATTAGTACACGTGCAAATTATTATCATGCAACAAGTTTTATATCTCGTCATTATGAAAGTTTATTCTGAAAGTTTCGTGTGCATGTGTATGTCAGAATGTTCTTGTTTGATAAAGTACGTGGAATTATCTTCATTAACCATTTCTGTTTCTCAAAATTAACTTCATCTCCTTTTTCAAGAGAAGTCTTAAGATAGAATACGGCAACCCTAAATTTTAAGAGTTCAACATTTATAAGCGTCGTTTATGTATTTGAATTGGTGTTTGTTCATAGGTTTTAAGAATAATTTTTAATTTTTTTAAACTAAAAAACTTGTTTAAAAAACAATTTTTATTTTTTAGTTTTTAAAAATTAATGAAAGGTATTTTTTGTTTTATTAATTATATTTACAATTTTATCACTAGTTACATTATATGGTTTGCTGTGATCATCATAAATTGTTAACATAGTTTTTCAACTTGCTTTTTCTCGATGTCACTTTCTTTCGATTAAAACATTTTTTAAATTAAAGTAATGTTAGTTTGATTTAGTTTTTTTTTAATAGTTTTACAAATAATTTTTGAAAATTTATTTTTGAAAACAAGTTAAAAAAATTTGTTTAATAACACTAGTTTGAAACTAATTTAAACGAAAAAGAACTATATTGACAATTATAAAAAGTTACATTGAAAATTTAAAAACATTTTAATAACTTTATGGTGATGAAGAGAAACGATTTAGTATAATTATTGGTGAAAATATAGATATTATTAATGAAAACAAAAAATTAAAATTAAAAAACACTTTCTATCAGTTTTGAATTTTTTTTAATTTTAAAAATTAAAAAACAAAAAACAAAAAAAATTGAAAATTATTTTAACAAAACATATATCAAATAAGTATTTTAGTTTTTAAAAACTAACGAATCGAATTTTTATTTTTTAAACTATCAGTAAAGCTAATTTTAAAAACTAAAAAACAAAAATCAATCAATCAAACCTTAATAATATTCAATAAACCAAACTACTGAGAAAAAATTGGACTCAATTAACTAAGCTTTGCATAATAAAAGTTTTATTTTTAGAGTTTAATATTTTCAAATATTTGTTTACATTAAATGTAAGTCAACCAACTAGATATTGATACGTACTTTAAAATAATTATTGTAAATATTAATATATCATATTAAAAAAGATTATTGAAAGTGTAAAACTGTTTTACAGTTAAATACCCAATTAAAATTACTACTTAAAAATTATTTGACTTTTATAATTCAATATCTTAATTATTTATGAAATCAACTAATAAATAGTATATTTATAAATATACTCGTGTTTTTTACTATTTTGTATACTTATTTTAAATATTTTAATTATCAAACAATTATTTGTTAAAAAGAATTCTTTCATGTTAAGAATCTCAAATTTAATTACGTTACAATTTTCGTTTATAACAACATTGTTTTTTCTCAAATCTCATTTATTTATAATCCAACATTAATGTTTTCAAATTTTAATAAATTTTCTTTTATTCTTAAATTTGATATACTTTTATTTGTTTTTAATGAGTCTACACATTATTTGTTTATTTTAGTTAATCAAACTCCTTCATATCGATTTTCTCTGTTTTCTTTTGGACAGCAGTTCAAAATTACTCCAATCGTATAAACAGATCAAGCTCATTCTTCCTGCAACCCCATATTTTTCTTACACTTCCTTATTTATCCTCCATATTTTTTTAAAATTTTTCAAATTTTATAATACAGAATTTAAAGAAATTATATATTTCTAAATTTATTCATCTAAATTTTTTAAAAAAATTCAAATCCGAAATACTACAAAACGTATTTTTAGATTAAATTTAACACAATTTTAAAGTTTGTTTTTAGAAAAACTAATTTTTTTTTTAAATTGCAGATGGAACCCTCATCGAAAGACTCGACCATTGCCTTGCAAACCACCTCCATAATATTTTCCAATGTTGGTGGCGAAAAGATCACCTCTGAATTTTTCCCTGTTTACTTGTATGAATTTTACATTGCTATTCTTGTTTTTAATTGCTCTAATAAACATAATAGAACCTGAAAGGACAATTTGAAAAGCCAACCTATCTTCAAATTTCAAAATATAAACATCTTGAACTCTATCTAAGCTCATTAAAATTGCACCGTTTCAAACGATGGCAAAATTTGGTTCAAGATAGAGCCTAAAAGGACAATTTTACCATTTGATTAAATAATAAAGCCAAGGAATCTATTGCTAGACTTTGACACAGGTTTAGCAAAAATTTCCAAAGCTCGTGTCATTCAAATGACGAAAACTTCTCCCTGAAATTGATTTTCTTTAATCTTCTATCCTTTCCCTTCTGTGACAAAGGATGAATATATTATTGAGTGACTCTCCCAAAAAAGTGTTCTATCTGAAGGCATCCCTGGGAATGCAAACTACTTGTTTTAGGTCCAAGCTTTGACCGTTTTGAACTTGCTGAATTTTCCTTACCACCCTGCAAGACAGAAACTTCTAAGGTCAGCTTACAGCTTCAAGCAACATCAGAATGATGATACGCAAGAGGGTTGCTACACTTAATAAGTGCATGTTTAAAAATGATTATTTTGTAGGAAATAACTGATTATTTTGCAATTATTTCTCCGATATAAGGTGAAACACACAAACTAGGCTGTCAAAATTATTAAGAATTTTTTTTCAATAACCAAGTGTATAAGTGTTTTAACTTATCAAGATACAATTACATAATAATGATTACAGAGTAACACTTGTGCCCTTATTACACCCAAATAATGAAGTAAATAGATTAACAACCATCTGCAATACCATTTTTCAACTGAAGTTCATGGTGAAAACGACACCCTGAAAGGTAAAAAATGACAATAAAAAAAGGAAAACACAACCTGTGTGGGGTGTGTGTAAATATTCAATTTATATCACAGTAAAATCAACCGCTATATGTTGGTTATGGAAACTTGTAAAGATAACAAGCTTAGTTGCTGGAAGATGGTACTACTACTTTCAAACCAATCGGTTATCATTGGAAACATTTGTAGCTCAAAAAAATTTACACTTATACGCCAACTATCTATTGGTTATAGAAATTTGTAACAGATAACAATATTTGTTGCCTTACAAACGAATGAGTCATCGTTGAAAACATTTATAGCTCAACAGAATTCACACTTACCATCAAATTTAAACACTATACAAAACTCACCGAGAGGATTTGGGTAGGAGTCCTTAGAACTTTTATTCTACCACCTCTACCATCAGCCCCAACAGCTATTAAATCCCCATTACTTGATCTCTTTGCAGATGATGATTCACTGTTCTGTCCACGCTTGCACCATTTTCCCAAGAACCGATGAGTTCCATCAGGACCAAGCAAACCACCAGAAAAGCATATATTCTCTGGACCTTAGGATGGGGAAAGAAGAAAATTCCAACATTTAAGTTTTGTTGAGTAAATCATCAACAGTATCTTATTCTTTTATTAAAAAAATATCTTCAAAAATTAAATTGCACCATACCTGAATTTGAAATTGTAAATGGTGATTCCTTTCTAATGTTCACCACAGGTTGTTTAATGGTGGTTTGTAAAGTTACATCTTCATCCATAGGACCAGCTGAAATGTTAGAAATGTCAATTTCAATATCAACTCTGGGAGACTCAGCCAAAGTACATTTTCCTTGGAATAACGTTTCGGTCTTTGTGGTAGACATGGTCTCTAGCTTCGCTAGAGAAGGCTTGCTAAAAGCAATATTATCCCTGTCTCGATCTTTGTAGTTTTGTTGTGAACATCCTTGCAAAGCGTTAGTGCCTTCTAAATCATCTTCATCAATTGTGATGTAGTCTCTCTTTTTATCAGGAGTTCTATGAATAATATTCACAGTCTTATTTGTAGTAGCACTGGAGTTCTCTATCTTCAAAGAATGAAAAGATTTACTGTTGTCATTTGCAGCCAGGTTTATTCCAGATTTGGGTGTTGAGATCTGTTTGCTTTGTTCTTTCAATGAAAATTTACAAGCTGTCAATGCATCAGAATCAGAGTTGAAGAAGTTACTCTCAAGATTCTTTGAACTCTTTGTGCTTTTTGAAAGTTTCAGAGACATCAAATATTCATTCTCTTTTGCTTCAGCTAATGTCTCCAGTTCTTGTACCCTTGCCTAAAAATGCTCAGAAAACTCTACAAGTTAATATTCATTTAAAAATTCCACTTATTTATGAGATTAGCACTAGCAAGCTCATCATGTACATACCTTCAGTTTAGCGATCTTCTCTTTAGCCTTCTCAAGTTTTTTGCTATAACGGGCCTCACCTCTTCCAAGAACATTGCACTTGGCCATCAATTCTTTATAACTCCTATCAGAATATGAGCAATTCCAATTTACATTTCAAGCAAACCATAATAGTTTTAGTAAACCAGGCAGAAATTTAAGGGAAAAACATGTATTTTGTGCCTACAATACAGTGAATAGTATCCCAACTAAAAGTGCACAAAATAAATGTTTAATGGTTTCAAATTTCAGGAAGTCCAACACTAGAAAACTTTTTCAACCTAGCTTATGTACCAAAAGAAAGATTTGGGGGATAAACCTGTTCCGCATGACCAAAGATTTTTTCAATGTATCTACTGTGTCTTTACTGTTGGCCCCATTACCAAAAGTGGCAAGCTTCAAAACCTCCTCTTCATCAATGTCCAGATCAGACACTCTACGGTACAGGCCATAAACCAACTTAGCAAGTAAAAGAACATGTAAATATTATATCAAAAACAAGATATGGTTACTCAATCAAAATGAAGCTCCACTCACAATTTTAATGCTGCAAGTTCTTTAGCCAAAGCCATATTCTTTTCTTTTAATCTAAAAGACTCCAAAGTTGACTTCTCAAGCTCCTAAATCAATATAAATCTCCACAAGTTAATTCAAGCTGTAAATAGTTAACTTGTCACAAATATAGCAGAAAGCTACAGAGCAATTCACCTCTGATTTCTTATGAAACTGGAATTGTATGGATGCTTTTTGATTTAAAGCCTCATTCTTTAATGCTGTTTCTATCTTTGCCTGCTCCTTGCAAATACAAAGCTGAAGGGAGAGCCATAAAAATCAATAGCATTAACTAAACATTTTTCAAAAAATTACCCCACACGTCACAAGGATTTTGTGTTCGACGCAACTTTACTAATAATTGATATGATTGCAAAGTTGCATTTTGCATTAACATATAATACATGGAGCTAGATTAAATTCATTTACTCTACTAAGCCACTCATTCCTGTCATTCCGAATGCCTCATCATCAACATATTGGGGTTTGTTTAACTTTTACAGCTTGAAGTAGCAGGTCACACAAAAAGCACGAATCTCCGGTTTCTTTCTAGTTCACCAATCGTAAAAAATATAAACACCTGTGCAGATGTTCATTGAGCTATAATAAAATATGAATTCTCTTCTAAACAAAATCTCATTCTTCTTGTGACATACTTTTAACCAATGAATTACTCAATAAAAAAACAACACTCTTTCCAACCAGTAATCATCAACAACAAAACCAGTCATCAGTTTAACATTCCATTAACAATTCTTAACAACTAGTGCCACACACTCACACACCTCAACCTAAAACATCTAATTTACCCCGTAAACTAAGCTACATACAACCAGCAACAACAGCAACAAAAGCCTTATCCTACTATTATACTAAGTGAGCTTAGGTAAATGGATCGAACGTATCATTGAATCCAATGAAAGACTAAATTCACAAGAATATTATCCAAGATTTCTCCTAACAACTTCCTTCAATGTCTTTATTGGTCTTACTATGACTCCTATCCCCCTTGTGAACATCAAGTGTCACCAACTCTCACCTCAGCCTAATGCATCTCATTTACCCCACAAATTAATCTAAACATAACTATGTGAGGTTCGGTACATGAATCACACAACATCATTATATTCGGTTAAAGAACAAATTTTTGGAAATATTATTCACCAAAATATCCGCCAATCCCCTTCTTAGTCTCCTTCTACAGCAGTCATATTAAAAAAAAAAAATAACATAACATAAAATAAAATAAAAGTACCTCCTCCTTAACTCCTTCCAATTCCTTTGTTTGCCGTTCCAGCTCAGAATTAAGCCCCGAAACTTTCACCTCCAATCTCTTCACTTCCATACGCAGTACCCCAACATTCTCCTCACTTTCAAAGCGCTTCTGAAGCTTCCCACCATCGTTCGCGTCCCCCACTGACTGAAAATAAAGCCTGCACGCGTCGCTTGCCCTGCAACTCTGCTTGCAAATGGGGCAAGTGCGTTTCTTTCCTTTCGAACAGTACTCGAACCATTGCTGCAGACTGCAAACAAACACACCCAAATCAAAACGAAGGCAAAGAACGGAACTTTCCGGCGTTTGCGTAGACCAACGAAGAAAAAACGCAAGAGTAGAAGGGATTTACCAAAGCTCGTGAAAGACGTGGCCGCAGATGGAGACCGATTGGAGGTCCTCGTTAATAGGGTTGAGAGGCTCGTAGCAGATCGAGCAAATGGTGCCGGCGAAATCGCCGCCGTCCACCATCCCGTGTGGTCGGTCGTAGAATTGAACTGAACTGAAGGAACGGTTCTTTCTCTCCGATGTTTTCTGGCCACGCTTTTTTCCCGAGAAAAAATAGTGGGAAAATGAGTGGGAATTTGAAGGGTGGCGCAAGGTTAATTTTTCTGAGAGCGGGAACGAGAAAATGGACTGAAGACGAGTTGTTGCGAAATCTAAATTTTTTTTTAACAAATTTAATCATTAAATTTTAGCTTAATTCCACTTTGGGTCCCAAACTTTTTGAAAAACAAAGTTATTATACATATAGAAAAATTATGAAGACGATTTAACTTTTAATTTTATAAAATCACTCATTTTTATTTTCTTAATTTATTAATTGAAATTCGTATTATGATGGGTCTTTTCATTTGCAAAGTCAAGTGTCATATCATAGTAGTTGAAGATGAGTTTTGGAATCGGAAATACTAATTAATGGTTAAAAAATGTTACGACCTTTTTCAGAGTTACATCGATGTAATATGTAATTTGATAAATGTTTAATAAGAGTGTCATTTAAAATAAATTAATATATATATATATATACGAGGGTTACGATTTAATATTATGTGAGTATATACAAAATTTATGTAAAAAATATTAAAAAATATTTTGATAATTAATCTTGATAATTCATAATAAAATTCAGTATTAATTCATAATGTGTGTATGTGTTCTCATTAACATTTTTTTTCTTTCATGCTTTTGGTTTGATGGATTATGGATAGAAGAATTTGGTAGAAAAATATTTACAGTATGTATCTCATAACACTTGCATTTATTGTTGTTGCAAGATTTACAATTTATTGAATAAAAAAAGACAATTTAAAAATGTCTTGTAAAAATAGGAGCTTTGGACAATTTAAGATCTTATCCTACGAATAATAGTTTTTGTATTTGTGTTTTGTTTTTATCTTTTGGTTTTTTTCTCCTTTTTACACTACTAAAAAAAAGTAATAATATTATTTTTCTCAATAAAATATTTTTCATTTATATAATAAAAACAAATTCTTTAACAATATGCTTAATCTTAGGCTCAACAACATATACAGAAATGGAACTCTTAAAAACATTATAAGTTGAATCTATTTAACCCAATTAATCATCTATTAACATATTTTTAGGATGACTTAATTTAATCATAAAATAAAGTTTTATTGTTCAATCTTGTATTTACCTTGCTTTTATGCACTATAAGTGATATAAAATTAAATAATTTTCTAAAATTTAACAAATAGATTTTATTGAGTATAACACAATATTAAAATAAATTAAATGAAAAAATCATACCTTAAAATAATATTATTTATAATATTTTATTAAAATCTTATAATTAGAATAATAGTATTTTTTTACATAATAAAATAAGTAATGTCGATAATTTAGAACATTTTTAAATAAAGTTACTAATAATAAGATATGGTTAAGAATAAAAATAAATATTTTATTATAAATTATTTAAAAATAAAGAAAATTACTTAAAAAAAATATTTATATGAACAATTCTAAACAAATTTTAAGTATTTATGTAAGATTGATAATAAAATATTTGATTTTATTTTAAAACGATTTTTATTAAGAAAATTCTTTAAAAATGTCCTTACATGCAAGTATTAAAAATTGTTAGATAATAGTTTTTTTTTATGACATAAAGGTAGTCATTTAGGTGTAGGTGTTTGTTCAATTATATTCAACTGTATAATACAAAAGATAAAAAATAATTTGGCTGCCTTGAATTATTTAGCTGGCACGATCTAACGTTTTTCTTCAAAATACAAAATATATATATAAAAAAAATAGTGGTAGTTAGAGAAATATGTTTTGAGGCAACGGTACTTTAAGGAAAATTATTTATCCATGTATATTAACTTAAAAAAGTAAAGATATTTTTTTTATGGATTATTGATCTAACATAAGATTATTTATATTTGTATTTGAGTTTTTAGAGTAAATAAAAAATAAAGATAAAGAATAGAGAAGTATATATCCAGTGATATATATAATTCAGTTCTCACAAGAAAAAAAATTAAAGTAGTTTAGAAAAGAAGACTCTTTTATTTTTATTACTCTATATTTTAGTTATCAATGGTTTTATTAAATATTTATTAAGGTTATTTATTATTTATTTTATTGGTAAAGAGAAAATATTTTGTTAATAATAAGTAATTTTAATAGAAGTTATGTTGTATAAATTAATTATTATTAGTGAAAATTTTTATTGTATCCGTGAGTTTTTTTTTATTGAGAGTTTTCACACACCAAAATTTAATGTGTTTCTTATGTTGTGTGTGTGTTTTTTTCTCTGGTACTTGATTTGTTATTTGATATTTACAATATACTTTATGGAATTTTTATAGAATACGCATAAGTAAAATCAACAACTTATAATAGATTTTGATGAACTTAAATTATTCATCAACACAAACATAAAACAACAAATTAGAACATGTAATTTATCCGCTTCTAGAAGCCAACCAACAAATAAATGGAGAGAAAATGAAATTAAAAAATGTACTTTCTAACTCATCTAAGATTGGAAGATGAAACAACGATCAACATGTTTTTTTTTTTTTCCTTATCTAATTTAACTTTATAATGTCTAAGTTTAAAATGTACATTTGAGATAAAAACATTTACAAAATGGTCCTAAGAAAAAAAAAAAAGTAAGATTGTTGATATAACATGGTAAGTAAGCAGATAACAATTGAATGATAACGCGAAACTTACATCCTTAATTTATTTACATTAGAGTAAATGTTATTACATGTAATGCTAACGAAGACATACCTCAACTATAAATTGGTCATTGAGATACTTGGAACTACTCGGTCCATCAAAATCTCAAATCTCAATGATGAAAAAAAAAAGAAAATATTTGGGACACATTTTGCATCACTTTTGTCAAATATGATGAATTTACTATTATAAAAACATAAACAATGTCAATTTTGTAGTATTGATGTGAAATTTGTAACATCTCAAAAATTTATCATATTCCACCTACAATATATTAAATTATACTAATTAGATAATTTAAATATATTAAAAAAATCTTGTTATTATTAAATTTAATATATATATATATATATATATATATATATATATATTTGTTATATTTATAAACATGAAAGAGAAGAAAAATATTAATTATTAATATATATATATATATATATATATATATAAAAGATAAAGTTATTTATTCTAAAAGATAAACCTTATCAAAATCATAATTCCTGCATTTATGATTACTTAATTAAATAAATGAAAAAAAAATTGCTATAAAATGGGATCAAGGGGGAAGATCCTAGGAAGATAAGGGAGAAAGAGAAAGAGAAAGAGAAAGAAAGAGAGAGCGAGGAAGAGAAAGAGAGAGAGAGAGAAAAAAAAGAGAAAGGGAGAAATATAAGGAGAGAAAAAAAAAAGAAAGATAAAATCGTCTCTACAAAATTTTGGTACATCATCTGCAGTTTTTAAGGTAGGGGAGGAGAATATTATCATTATATCTATTTTATTTTTATTATAGTTGTGGAGTGAGATGTTTATAACCTCATTCTATTTATTCAGTTACTTGTTTTTTTATCTCTAACTACATAAGGGTTCTGCCTTATGCTTGTTTATTTTATCTTCAATATTGCATTAGTCCTATTTTAATTATCTTCATTTATGTACTGGTCCTGTTTATTTATTCTACTTTATCTCCAGTCTTGCACTGATTTTATTTTAATTATCTCCAGTTATGAATTGGTCCTGTTTGTTTATTCTACTTTATCTTCAGTCTTGCACTGATCCTATTTTAATTATCTCCAGTTATGTACTGGTCCTGTTTGTTTATTCTAATTGATCTTCAACCTTGCACTGGTCCTATTTTAATTATCTCCAGTTATGTATTAGTCCTGTTTGTTTATTCTACTTTATCTTCAGTCTTGCACTGGTCCCATTTTAATTATCTCCAGTTATGTACTGCCCTGTTTGTTTACTTTATTTTATCTCTAGTAATGCAGCGATCCTATTTATTAATTTATAGTTATATTATTTAATTATTTTTTTATAATATCTATTTGTGAAGATTTGATGATATTGTAGATGGAGGTTAGACCTTGAGGATTTAAATGAGTAAATATCACTAGGAGAGTAATTAAAAATGGACTCATTTATCCTGACTAGTCACTACAAATTTAATTTAAATCTTCATAAAATAGAATATGTTGAGGAAGTTTAAACATATATATATATATATATACATATATATATATATACATTATAATATTGTATTATTGTAGATGGAGGCGCTAAATATTCCAAATCCCTTTTCTGCAAGCATCACTGTCTTCTTTCCAGGAACTACTTGGAACACGAACGTTATAGACAACTCGGTTACTTTTAAAGGGACATAATTATCAATAATAACATTTGCATCTGATATGGGAAATCCCATTATGTTAGATGGATCAGTAGTGGTTACCTTTTGTATGTTTCTTACCTTTTACCAAAACCCCTTAATTAGTTTGTTTCCACAGACAATGTAGATATTTGTATAATTGTAGAAAAAAATAGAAGGAATCAAAAATAAAATTCCTTCTTCTTTTGTATATCTTATACATATATAGTGATGTAAATTACTTTTACATATATGTAATATTATTTGACCTGCTACTCTTATATAAATAATAAAAACAAATGTGTCACATTAGATATCAGAGCAACGTTTCATGTGTGACCTGTGAAATGAGTCTATTATGATATCTTATGAATCCTAACTTATATAATTTCATATGGCAAATAATAGAAGGAACAAAGAGTTAACAGAAGCGGTACAAGCTATCCGAGACATGGTCGCTGCATTATGAAGGAACCAAAGACCTGAAGGAACCAATAGATCACACAAGGTTTAGTTGAATTTAGGAAAAACAAACCTCCACAATTTTCTGGAGGTTATAACCCAAAAAAGGCTGAATTATGGATTAAAGAATTGAAAAAAATATTTCAAG